GGCCGTCGGGCCTGAGCGCGGGCCGTGGGCGTGTGGAGGTCTTCGCGGGCGGACGCTGGGGCACCGTGTGCGACGACGGCTGGGACATCAAGGCCACCGCCGTGGTGTGCCGCCAGCTGGGCTTTGCGCACGCCGTGCGGGCCACCAAGCGCGCTGAGTTCGGCGAGGGCCGGGCACTGCCCATCCTGCTGGACAACGTGCGCTGCGCGGGCGATGAGCAAACCCTGCTGGAGTGCAGGCACGCTGGCCTGGGCACGCACAACTGCGACCACCAGGAGGACGCGGGCGTCGTGTGCAGCCACGAGGACCCCGACCTTCCGCGAGCGTAGTGGGTCCGGCCTGGCTGTCTTCTCTCCGGTAGGCGCTTGGCAGGGCCCTCCCCCTGCGCCCACCTGGCGCGTGCACACGAGTCGGAGGTGGAGGTGGCCCTGGGTGTGATGCAGGAGGTGGCACACCGGAGCTGTGGACATTCCTGAGGGGTGCGCGGTGTTTTCTGTGTGTCCCTGCTCATGGGCCCTGAGTGTGCTGGGGCCTGTGGCCCTGTGCGTATGCGGTCCTGGCAGGAGGCTGTCTTTTCTTACCTCTGAGCAGTCGCAGGAACACAACCTGGCCTTGGAACCCTGCAGCTGCCCTTCGTGGACGGACATCGCCCCCGGCTGTGTCAACAGAGGCACAGCCGGTGGACCAAGGGAGAGGACCAGGCCTGCCCTGCCATGGCTGGAGTGGAAGGCCCTAGACCAGCTGAGGAATGTGGCCCAGAGAACATGGACCGTGGCCCAGCAGTCAGAGGTGCTGAAGAGGACAGGAAGGCATCTGGTGGGATAGAGAGAAGCTGTTAGACCCACAGGTCCAGGTGACCCGTGGGCCGTGGCTGCCCCAGTGAGGGTCAGGCTGCCTGGGAGGAAGCAAGCGCCTGGCGAGGGCTGGGGTTGGGGGGCACACACTGGATCACCTCAGGGAAAAGCCTCCTGGTCATCTTGGACCTTGTCATTATGTGGGTGCTCTGGTGGGGGCCGGTACTAGGACACCCATCCCTAAGGCCTGACGCTGCCCTGCTCCTCAGGACAGAAGCCACCAGCCACTCCCAGTACCCAGGCCCAGGGTGAATGGGGGGACTTCAGGCTTCTCCACTTTAAAGGCTGTGTCAGGGCCTCTGGGGCCACCTGTGTCATCTCTAAACCCAGCCTTGCTCATTGAAATCCCAGGGAACCCTCCCATCCCTCCAGCCCCACCGCAGGGCTATGCCAACATGTGCCTGTTTATAACCCGTCGGCCTCTTCTCTCTGACCCGTGCCTGCCAGGGAGCGGGG